GGGGATTGAACTCGGGTCCTTGCGCTTCCAAGACAGGCCAACAAACCGCTGAGCTAAAGCCCCGGCCGAGAAGGTATCTTTTTACTAAACAAGAACTGAGTAGCCAGCAAAATTACACTGAAATAGTTGCTGAGAAAATAAAAGCCCTACAATTTCCCAAATAAAATGACTTTTTAAATCTGTATTATACAGTATTTCCACTTTTTACGACCTCTTATGAAGCTGTTCCTATGTTTTCTAAAGTTGTAAAGATTCACTCAGGAAACGAGAAAAGTATGCACAAGCCGTGTACCCCAATGAATATTGACTTTCCATTATGCCCAATTCTTAGGCTCCTGTATCCTCTGCTTACAGAAATACTGACTTCAAGCACTGTGTGAAAAAATGGTTAAAACAGAAAAACTTAAAGGGAGGGCTAGAGCTTGCTCTTAGAACAGGTACATCCATGGAATTTAGCACCCATTCACTCCTATTCTCAGATTGAAGCAAACCATTAAAAGCATAAAGAGAATACCTAGAACTCATCATGATATTCTGGTTGGCATTTATTTAAAAAGAAAAAATGCAGTATTACTTTATTTGGTGTTCAAGTGAAATGCCCACAGATGGCACAATGCACTTAGGAATAAAACTTAATCATGGCAGCTGTATAATCTGTAATGAGCTACATGGTACTAGCAAGTGAGTAAACTTGGCCTCTGTATCACATTCTGAACTAATAAATTTAAATAGCACACTACTTTGACATTTTGCATTAAAGATGCTGAATGCTAAAAACAAAACTTGACTTTCACTTGCTCCTGTAGTTTTGCTCAATACCTGAAGACCCCAAAGATAACTATGATTCTCTGAAAATAGAGTTAACAGATGGTCCTTTGGAAACAAAACAATCAGTGTGAAGATTCCTAAAAATGTATTTGTACACACAAGATACCTCCAGAAATAAATAAATAAATAAATAAATAAATAAATAAATAAATAAATAAATAAAGGAGCTGGAAAAGAGGTTTAGGAGCAGAGAAATTGAAACACATTTCAATTAAATAATGAGTGCTTACTCCTAAATAAGCCAAACTTTTTTGGACCAGGAGCTATGGCAAACAATATTTTCTTTTTAAGTAGCAGGGTATTTAAGTAAGATACTTTCTCTAAGCATTCCTGCCCCCATGAGCTGTTTCCCTTCCAATTAAAAATTTATAAGCTTTGTTAAAGTTATTGTAGCTACATACAGAGAGAGGTACTAAGACAAGGTCTTAGGAAATGAAATGTGGAGACAGTATATTTGGGTGCTAACTATTTGGTTACAAATGAGAGAAACCAAGAGTGAAAAAAGGGAAATTGGTTATAATCAGTAATGTCAAAACCTGGTTCAAATGTTACCTTCTCTATGAAGTCTTCCTCCCAGTTATGCTCGTGTTTTGACTGTAGAACTTGCTAAATGTACGCAGGCACATACATATCACTCCTTTACAGTTTAAGCAGACTGCAGGCCAAGACTGTTCGCTAGCTAAATGCAACAGATGACTACAATTGTCAGACCAATAATGTATTTTGACATTTTACATTTGCTTCACTTTTAATAAATGCTTCATCCAACAACTCGTCATTTATTTGAAATGAAAATGATAATATTTTCAAACCAATACCTGTAGATAGGTCTCTACCCACCATACTTTCTAAGCTGTCTTAACATTTCGTCTTACTCCAAGTAGGAGATTCCATTTTACTATTTCTAGTCTTTCTGGCTGAGCTTGTGAGTTACTAATTTGTCTCTTGGCCTCTAATTTGCCCATCAATGCCTGCTCTACAGTAATGAACACGATTCCTGCAAGCATTTCTCCTCTAAGCAAGCATGATGGTAAGTTCACACTCAGTGAAGACACTCGAGGCAGGTGCAACGCTAGTTCCAGCTCTGCAAGGCTGGTCAGCAGGTACAGGACACCCAGTGAGGATCTGTTCTGCTGTGAGCCTAGAGTGGTAGTTCCAGCTTGGCCTGATGACCACATTCCCATGGTCTCCCCCATCCAGATTTCATCCGCTCCAGACTCCCACCCTTATCAGTACCCTAACTGTCAGCATGCCAAGCCGACAGTGGAGTCTCACTTATAACCTGGAGGGTAGCATTCTATTTGGCTGGTGCTCAGGGACAGACTGGGCCTGGGGAATCCGAAGAACTTCTCCACCCTTGACTGTGGCTCCTCCACTGCATGGAAGCTGATATAGAAAACTAAGGTAACTACTTTTGGTTCAGAACTTGAACCAGATTCATAGCTACTGAGTAAAGGTAAAATGGTCTATATATTTAACCCTAGAGGCACTAAACCACTGTTTTAACTATTTTTCTAAGCCCTCCATTCAGTAGTAGTAGTCATAACACTGAACTTTAGCAGAGGTTAACAGTAGTTGTCCATTAGGAAAACAAGAAAAAAAAGTCCCTTAGTATTTTCTGCATGTTTATCTGAAAAGTACATACATAACCATTGCAAAGAAAATATGAATTAAGAGTAGGAATGGAAAAAACATATTAGTGGTATCACTGAAGAACAGGTCCTTCTGTAGACTGTCTCAACTGCAGCATCACGATGGAGGAGGCTGTATATTTAAAGCACACCACAGGCTTGACTTTTTCAGCCAAAGAGACCTTGATCAAATCCCAGTGGTAGCTTGCTCTTCTCGGCTTTGGTCAATGTATAGAACACCTGAGTCTGTAAGGACCACCTCAGAGATATGCAGGACTGCATCACTACAAAGTATAATGGAGCTCCTACACAGAATTGACAAAATAAGTAAATAACCACTGCAATGATTAAGTTTCCCTCATGTTTCTTCATTTCATAAGAACACTGATGTACAGAAAAAAGCCTTTTGCCAACAGTACTATACTTTCTAAAGCTGACACCAGGTTAAAATACTCTTGACATGGTAAGTATACCAACTTTGTGTGCGTAATTACAAAGCAGGCACTGATGACTAGCCAGTACTTCTACTGGGAAGGATAAAAGTCCCATCCTATCGCTTCCTGAAATTTACTATTCCTTATCAAACAGACTCATCATGAGCTGCCAAAGTACAAAATAAATAGAATTTAGGCAATTAAATTTTTAACATCTTCAGTTTATATATTTGATGCTTTATAAAGTACTATGACTAACGCACCATTGTTCACAACAGCTCTATTTCTAAAAGACCTTTTAGTGATAATAGCACAATAGTTTCATGAACAAAGAAAAAAATTTTTTTTCTCAGTTTATTGGTACATTTTAGGTATGAAAATTTTTGAAATTTTATCATTTTAGATGTAAGAAAAGGCAACTCATGACTAATCATCTTACTAATAATTCTCAACTTTTCTTGAATGACCAGTGATGCTGAACATTTTTTCATATATTTGCTATTTCTTTGAGAAACGTCTGTTCATTTCAGATGCCCAGTTTTGGATTGAGTCTTTAAATTCCGGAGGTCTGAATTTTTTAAGTTCTTTAAAACTGAAGCCTCTACTTTAATTGTATGTATCATCTACAGTCGTCTTTCAATCAAGAAGTTTAAATTATTCTCTGTCTCAGGAAGAGAAAGGCTGCAAGGACTTGTCAGAGAGAAGTGATAAAAATGTGAAAACGAACAATTTGATTAAAGAAACAAGACTGTGGTTGAGAGGCTAATAATCATTTTCAAAATATTACCTTAAAATTTCAATTAAACACTGTTTTCAGAATTACAAATTCAGACAAACTATTTCCCTCCCAACCCTATCTGTATTTATCTCCTAATGAAAACACTAGAAAAAACTTAAAAATCATGAACTATTTAAAATGGCTTTATTGAAAGATGATTGTTTTTTCCACTTATATAAAGTTTTGTTTCCCGAAATACAACATTTGCCTTATGTAACTTATGAGAATCTCATCTCCTTTGGAACTGCTGCGTGGGAGCCAAGGAGAACCGTGTTATGGATGGGGAATGACGTCACGGATGCTGTGTGACGGGACTCACCTGCCCCGTGTGTACCTAACACACCGCAGCATCCTAACAAGTCAAACTTTCCTGATTTTCTCCCTTCTTTAAGGACCACGAGCTACTGCAGTTCCTAATCAATTCAAGCTTTTATTACAGCAAACAAATCCACTGTTTCCTGCTGGCTGGCGTCATCTCGGTTTTAAACTACCTTGCATATTGCAGCCGGACTAATCTTAAAAGTAATTTTGCAGTTACTTCCTTTCTGAGAAATCTGAAAAGTTTCCCATCAATAACATCATATTTAGTTAATGGTTAATGCTTATCTTAACGACACCATGTGTTTCATTTCTTCGCTTTACCTGAGACAGAGCCATCGTGATGCAATGTGAAATGTGGACAAATTCTCTTTGAAACCTAAGACTTAAATGGTGCTTTATTTTTCTTCTCCACTCTCACTATATCACCTATCTTTCAATAAAGGTTAGAAAGCTGTTTGCTTTTTGCACAACACCCACGGGACAGCTCTATACAATTTAGTTGAAATTAAATCCAAAATGAAAAGGGGGAAAAATAACATAAAAATGGAAGTGCCATTTGACAATATATAAAATACCTGAAACAGTAAATAAGGATTTCTTTGTGTTTCCAGCAAGAGTCTGGCAAGCACTAGACAGACAGATCGTTTCAACCTAGCACACAGAGTGAACAGGAACGGTATGCCTGCAAGTGACAACCAAAATTGCAACTGGGGATAAGCAGGGCAAAAATCCTAACATTCACTGCTATTTTAATCCCCAAATCTTAACAGATGTGTGTAGCCTTTTCTAAGTCTTCATAATTTTTAGTCACAGTTCCTATTTAAAGGGGGAAAAAAAGATGACCACATACAAAAACTTCCATTGTTCTAGCCTCTCAAGAGTGTTGACTACGTACAGCAAATGAGCAGAATAATGTGGACGGCGCCTGCTGCCAAGTATAGCACACCCCTTCCTCATACGGCATTATTCTTTTGTCTCCTTCTGCAATCACATTCTTTTTAAAGAAATAATTTCCTTACACAAACCTAATCACTAATAGAGAAATACTAGAGAAAATACTGTCAGTTGGAACAAACAAGTATCTGTACCAAAAGCTACGAAGTCAGGCCGTGAGAAGCAGCTGGTTTATGGAAAGCCCAGTGGTGCTGTCCTTGAAGAATGAACGCGTCTTCGGTTTGCGCAGCCCTTCTCCATGCTGTTCACAACTATACAAGCAAGATGGGGCAGGCTCGCTTCGTCTCCAGAGAAACGGAAGCACTACTGCCCATGGCCGTCGATCAGGGAACACACAACGCCACACCAAGATGCGAAGATCTCTCGTGCTCTACTTTGCAGATATAAAAACCAAGAAAATAAATTAAATAATTTCAGTTACATCTGACCTTGAGAACCGTATTTGAAAATTGCATTTGGTTTCAACTTTCAGTTATAACTTAATGTGGCATAAATCTCAAAGAATATTTTTAAAAATGGCCTGTTAAAACTGAGTAACTGAAGAAAGCATTATCTCGACAATTGATATATTGGAGCACTAATTATTTTAGAAGGTTCTTTTGTGAAGGCTTATGGTTCAGCATGTCATACTTAATAAAACTTGTACCACAGTCTTTCTTCTGGTGCTTTACGTCAGCTGATACTAACTTAGGCCTTTCTGTGACTGGTGAATCAAATTACCATTCATTACCATTCAATTTAAATATAGCAGTATAGCAGAGATGCCAAGAGAGTAAGAAGCTCTTCTAACATTTATGGTAATTAGTGACATTTTCATATTCTTGATGGAATAAAAAGGATAGTTCTCATCTGTTCTGCTTCAAGTCTTCTACTCTTTTCCAAAGTTATACATTCCTTACCAGTTCCTTTTCTACTGTCACATTAATTATAAATTCCTTCTTTCCTTCTGAAGAGGTGTTTTCCGATGTCCCAGAGAAATTATTAATGTACTTCAAGGTCTTACTAAACTTTTACGTGCCAACATTTAAAGTAATAATAGAAACTGTTGCTTTTACTCATTTTATTGCACAATATAAACTTGAATAAAATGCACTAAGAAACAATATTTTGTGTTTAAATCAACACTAACTTAAAAATGTTTGAGAGACAACTTAAATGTACTCCAATTCAGCATAAAGGTAAGCAGTTTACTTCTGAAGGTTTAGGAATTTTAAGCACAGCTTTTCATTGAACCAAACAACTTTTTTTGGTCTCTCTTTCGTTTTTATTTCTTCTTATATTTTTCTCTGGAAGTTCACAGTGTTACAGAAGTGAAAAATAAGCCTGATAGAGACTTATATGGCTAGAACATATATGGCTTTATATACACAAAAATTTAATAATGTTGCTATAACCCCTGAAACAATGAAATCCTTAGTCACTATTATCCAGAATAAACTTCTGTACATATTAAATTGTTCAAGTGTACCTAGAGCAGTACTTATAAAAAAGGTCTCAATAACTTATGGGTGTATCTTTGAAGACCAGTTCTACCTTTAACAAAATCAAGGTAGAGTTCTACCAATGATTTGATTTTACAATACATTCTCAAATATTCTAAAAATGCCCAAATGAGCCAAACATATAATTTGATTTATATCTAGTTTAATAAACTTTTTGTACAGCACCAGAGGTTAAAAATGGATCTAATCAAATGTTTGCTTTCCTTTATTATAGTTTAATCATCATTATTTCTTCAATAATAAACCCAAATTGAAAATGAAGACAACTTGGTCAAATGCTTTCACTTTAAATAAATAAACATTTCATCCATTTCATATTTAAATATTCAATTGTTTTCCTATAGTGTGTTTCTTGGTAACAACTACTCAGTTAACTTCTTGTCTCTGAGAACTAAGCAAGGCGGACAGGATTTTCTAGGTTTGTTTTAAAACTTTCAAGAAACTTGGTAGCCAGTTCGTCATCAACCACCCGGCTGTCGCTTGACATGGTAACCGTTATGAGCTGGCGCTGCTGCAGCTTGGGGTTCCCCTCTTCATCCTCAGTGAGTTTCAGAACGGGGCGGAATCTCCCAACAGCCAAAATGCAGGCTTGGGGAGGGTTGATCACTGCAGTGAATTCATCGATGCCAAACATCCCCAAGTTGGAAATACTGGAGGGGGAAAAAACAGCTCTGAAGGCAGCACATCCTCAAAGTATGCTTTCCCCAAAGTGTGTATTTTTTACTTTACTAAAAATGGTGCTATGCTATGAAAGAAACCTTCTACCAATTTATTCAAAGACAAAAGAATATGTATCAACACATATACAAATATATCTAGTATCAAACATATGGCATTGAACTGAAGATCCTCAGCAGTGAGATGTGTCAAGAAAAAAAACAAAATAAGGTATTATATACTAGAAAAAAGAAAATTGCTGTTATTCATGGATGGACTGAGTACATAAAAAAAATCTAAGGCTGTACAGATAAACTAATAAGGTTAAATGTGAACTTAAGGCATTGGACAAAAGTTCAATGTAATTTTATCTATATAGAAGTTGTTAAATTAGACAATGAAATTTAAAAACAATTACCATTTGCAGCAGTATCAAAAAAACAAACATCAAGGAATAAATTTAATGAAAATATACAACCTCCACATAGAAAATTACAAAACATAACCCAAAGAACTCAGACTCAATACTGTGAAACGAAAATGTTCCTCAAACTACTCAAAAGATTTAATGCAAGTCCAATCAAAATCTCTCCCAAAGTGTATGGCGTATATGTGTGTGTGTGTGTAAAATGACAAATTAATTCTAAATTTTATTGGTGTTTTGAGTGTGAAGAGCCAGAAAATACTATCTTGAGTAAAGACACTTGGAAGATTTTCCTGACCCGATATCAAAAGTGATAGCTTGGTATTAACTGAACAAGGGCGAGACAAAGAGGCTAACAGAGAAGAGAGAACTCAGACACACAGTCATCTTCTCAGTACTACTGGGGGGAGATCTTTTCAATAAGTGATGCTGGGTTAATGATATCCATGTGGGGTGAGGCTTTCATGTCACATAAAAACCCAATTTGCCCAACTGTGATCTACATGGAAAAGTAATTTATAATGCTTTTTGAAGTAAAAAACAACTTCATGGCTAGTGAACAGGCAAAGATAACTAAGAGAAAACATGTCCAACTATAAAGGCAAAGTTACAAAAAGAAATTCATTAGAATTCAGAACTTTTGTTTCTCAAAAAAAATCACTAACAGAGTCAACAGAAAGCCACAGAGTGGAGAAGGTATATGAAGTAATACATATCCTGGGGCTGGGATTTAGCTCAGTGGCACAGGATCCCCGGTACCAAAACAAAAACAAAAAACCCATATCCTATTGGCACGTCTTTATTGTTGAAAAAAAATTCAACAATAAAGAATACATAGTATTTACACAGAAACTCAAACCAGCAAAACTAACCTATCATCATTTTCAGAATGGTGGCTTCCTTTGGGGAGTGGTAGGTAATGATTCTGAAGGATAAAAGGAAACTTTTCTGATGCTCATAATGTTCTAGATCTTTCTTTGATCCTACATTTATTTGAAAAATAAAGTTTAAGAACCCACATGTCATTCCTTGCTAGTCAATGTCCATTCAAAAGAATGTTTATTTCAACACTTAATGTATTCCTGTAGCTTTGACTACTGGTCTTCAGACTTATTGGTCTGAAGAATATTTTCATGCATCCTGTTAGCTAAATAAGGCATGGGATATTTAGCTTAAACTTTAAAAATGTTCCAGCAAAATAAATAAAACATGCTGACATGGGTTTAATACATCTTACATCTATCTGTTAGATGCTAATGAATTTGAATTTTACCTAAAGGATCCTCCTTGGTATTCTTCAGGTAACAATTTTCCATCTCTTGCTTTCTTTGATAGAGCCTGAGAAAAATATAAAAAGAGCACAACAACAAAAAATAGATTACACAGTTAACTGTGCCACTTGAAATATTTGTTCAGGGTATACTCTCATCTCTGATGTGTCTTGAGTTTTTAAGATGATTTTTTTAGATATATAAAAATTTTCTTTAATAAAATTATAACAAACAAGTTCCAACACAGATAACCTAAGAAGCTGAAGGGGTCAATCAAAGCTCCTCAAGTTTTTTTCAGATACTGGATTTTCCCTGTGCACTGATACAATGCAGAAAGCTCTGCTCTCTTCTGTATGTATAAAGTGCAATTGTTTATTTTGCCTATAAGGTTTTTCTCTTGTAAAGCCAAAATATTAAAAGAAGTCACTGTTGTCAATCTATTAGGTTTTAAATAAATTATCCAATGGCAATCAGAGAAGGATACCCACAATTCCACAACCAATGAATGAATTTTCATCATTTAGTGTCTCCTTTATCTACAACATACATAACTTCAGGCAACGGTGAAGAAAAAAACAGAACATTGTACGTCACTTCTCAATATTATATGTATTTCACGTGTTGTTAGTATTCATAGCTAAGGGTTTTTTGAGACAGGTCTCACTATGTAGTTGAGACTGACCTGGAACTCACTATGCAGCCCAGGCTGGTCTCGAACTCACAGCGATCCTCATGCCTCAGACTCCCGAGTGCTGGAATTACAGGTGTGCGCTACCACGGCCTTCATAGTTGATTTTTTAATATCTGCTTAATATTCTAAAGAACCTGCCATGTGTGGCAGTGAACACCTACAATCCCAGCTTTCTCTGGAGTTGAAGCAAGCAGATTGCAGTCTGAGCTTAGCTTGGGCAACTCAGTGACTTAGACCCTGTCTCAAAAAAAAAAAATTGAAGTGGGTGGGGTGGGCATGTAGTTCAGTGCAAAGGCTGGAGGTTCAACCTCCAGCACCTGTCCCCACAAAAGAAAGATCATTCTAAAGGACCACATCTGCCATAATTTCTTTAGTCATTTTTCCAGTGTTACACTTTGCTTCATTAGTTTCTTCTGATTTATTTCAAATCAATTTTGAGACGTGAAATTAGAGTTATTTTATGTTATTGATCCCAGAGCTAAAACATTTCCTGAATGAACTAGTCCAATTCATCCTGCCACAAGGAATATTAAGAATGAACTAGCTGTATTTTTTAATACTGACTTCTAAAAATGTAGAGAAGACAGATGACCCTGACAGCGACAGTAAGAAAAGTAAACTGTCTTGCTTGCCCTTGGAGTTAACCACATTTCTGCTCCTCTTTACTTTGGAATGCTTTAAAAGCAACAGGACAGAGGCTGAGTCATCATATATTAAAATTAGTGATAAATTAACTTGTGAGGGAAGGGCAGGAAAAAGTGAAGTCACTGTCATTTGGGCAGATTAACTAAATCTGGGGCTTACTTAATATTTTTGTACTACCCA